AGCAGGGAACCCGATGCGGGACTCGATCCCAGGACCCTGGGATCATGATCTGATCAGAAGGCAGACGCTTAACGACTGAGCCACCCAGGCGCCCCCAAAGTTGATGTTTTTAACAATATAGTGTCCTTCACTTTGTGGAGGGTATGAGGAATAATTTAACTCTTGACCTACTTTATTTTCTTTGAGATGATTCTTTGGAGACTGATGATCTGCCAAAGTACATTGCAGATTAGGCTAGTTTTTTGTTCTCAAACATCCTCACAATGTCTAAAAATACTGAAAATACTATATCAAGAATTTGAGATTCATAGACAAAAATATAAAACTGAAAAGGAAAAGAACTGAAGTGGTGATAGGGTGAAAGAGATTAAGAAAAGGAAGGGAGAGAAGTAAGAGGGACGGAAAGAGAAATTTTCTCCCGTTTGATACCTGGACTCACTGGGCTTATTTTAGGCTCTCTGGGATTTGGCTGCTCTCATCTTCAAAGGACAAAGAATGATCTTGAAAACCTTGGCTCCCAAAGGTCTGCCTGGTGGGGGCGTGGCCATTGGAGCTAAAGTTTTTAGACTGTTGAGCCAAAGCAGTTTTGTAACCGAGCAGGAAGCAGTTGACCCAGCTGCTTAACACAGGTTAAGATGGCACATTTGATCTTCATGATACAGGAGTTTGTTATTACATGGGCAAAGCACTTTCTTCTCCTTAGACTTTAGTACCTTTTTAAAAAGTATTCCGTTCCATCCTTTCACTAAAAAGTCTTTATTAACAGTTTTTAGCAAGGTACTCTGCAATGAGTTGGCCAAATCTTACCTATGGGGATTGCACACTGGCAGACATGCAATATATCTGAAATTTAGTGATAATAATAGTTATGAAATATTTTACATGGTAAAGAAATAGAGTAAGTGAGGAATGCTTGTAGAAATTGATAAACCTGAGAGAACATCATAGAAGAAATGTAAGTTTTGGAGCTGCTTGTTGAAAAAGAGACCATTATGAATTTTGGCTATAAGAATCATCTGGCTTCCAAAGGTCAAGTTAGAGGAATATATTATATTGCAAATTAAATCTAGGCTGATATGTTAGCTAATCTCAGTAATTGTAAAAAGAGTATCAAATGGTTTGAGAAAAATGAACAAAGATGCTTTTTGTAACCAGGGTTACCTAATTAAATTTTCATCCAAATTGAATCAGTCTTTGTTCATGCATGCCCCTGCTTCTAGGCAGAACTGACGTGAGGTTTATCTCTGCAGGAAGTTCCTGTAAGTTCTCTGACTAATATATGTACTCCTTAAGCCCTATATATATATATATATATATATAAATTTGGAAAAGGGAAGAGTATTTTAATAGCCTGTGCAGACAATTGTGGATACTTTTCTTGAATATTATACTAAAAGTCCAACAAGTAGGAGTTTCTTAAATATTAGTTGCAGTGCAGAATCTGAAACATGTCAGTGGATTTTTCTTACTTTGTGACATCAAAATTGAGTGGTCTAACTTATACTTTGAATGAATCTTTTACCCATGCATGATTATCTATACCATGTATTTCATTAGTACTTGGAAAATAAGGGTTCATTGAGTTATGCAGATTTTCTAAATGTTAATGCATTTACTTAAAAATTTGTGGATAGCCCCACTGATCTCATCAGAAAAGTATTAAGAAGCTGTCAAGTTCACGGTAATGGTATGTTTCCCAAAATTCCGAGTTCTTTTGGATGGTCAAATTTTGTCACTGGCAACAAATACTAGTTATTTTCTTTGAAGTGACAGACTCACTTGGTCATTTTCAAGTCTTTTTTTTTTTTAAAGATTTTATTTATTTATTTGAGAGAGAGAATGAGAGAGAGAGAGCATGAGAAGGGAGAGGGTCAGAGGGAGAAGCAGACTCCCCACTGAGCAGGGAGCCCGATGCGGGACTCGATCCCGGGACTCCAGGATGATGACCTGAGCCAAAGGCAGTCGCTTAACCAACTGAGCCACCCAGGCGCCCCATTTTCAAGTCTTAAACCATAATTTGCATGTCAGTTCTTTTGAGTAAAAATAGCATTCCATGAAAAAGTGGGTAGTCCATCTCACAATAGATGCACAAGTGCGTTTTTCTTGGAGACAACCATCATGCTTTGGGATACAGCGGAAGTGCTTTATGTATACCTCCTAATATCACTCATAATATTTAAAAGACTTATAACCAAGGATTGAGATTTAATAAAATTAATATTTTACTGCTTCATCAAGGTCATTTTTTTTTTTTTGAGATTTTATGGGACGCCTGGGTGGCTCAGTTGGTTAAGCTTGTGCCTTCGGCTCAGGTCATGATCCCAGGGTCCTGAGATCGAGTCCCGCATCAGGCTCCTTGCTCAGCAGGGAGCCTGCTTTTCCCTCTGCCTGTGCTCCCCCTGCTTGTGCTCACTCGCGCGCTCTCTCTGACTCTCTCACAAAGATTTCATTTATTTATTTGAGGGAGAGAGAGAGAGAGTAAGTGAGATAGAGAGAGAGCAAGTGAGAGAGAGAGAGAGAGCATGAGCAGGGGGGAGGGGCAAAGGGAGAGGGAGAAGCAGACTACCGCTGAGCAGGGAGTCCTATGCTGCGCTCCAACCCAGGACCCTTGAGATCATGACCTGAGCCAAAGGCAGACGCTTAACTGACTGAGCCACCCAGGCACCCCACCCAGGGACCCCCATCAAGGTCATTCTTAAATGAAACTGTTTTGTTTTTTTAAAGATTTTTATTTATTTGTTTATTTGACAGACAGACACAGCGAGAGAGGGAACACAAGCAGGGGGAGTGGGAGAGAGAGAAGCGGGCTTTCCGCTGAGCAGGGAGCCCGATGCAGGGCTCGATCCCAGGACCCTGGGATCATGACCTGAGCCGAAGGCAGACGCTTAACTGACTGAGCCACCCAGGCGCCCCTGTTTTGTTTTGTTTTAAATTGCGAGTACGTGGTAGGGAAGAATACAGTGGGTACTAGTATCCTTTGATGCTACTGCCTTGATTCATATTAAGGCACTAGTAGTTTTACCCATAATACCTTATGTATCCTTGGTGCAAATGTCAACACAGTGAAAAGGGCAAATAATGTCTTAATATTGTTATAGAAAATCATTTTGATCTGATAATAGCTTCTCAGCTGAAGTTTTAACTCCCACCACACACACCTCCAGGCCCCAAGGAAAGGATTTAAAGACAAGTTTTTTTTAAAAAGGAGTCTCATTTGTTTCTAGGTCCTGAATTATTCCAACTGCTTTAGAACAATCAAAGCCTTGATAATGATTGCCTTTATCAATGTGGGCATTTTACCTCCTTTTTATTCTATAGATAAGTTAAGACAGCCTTTTGGTCTGCAGATCTCGTTGCTATTTGTTACTGTTTCTTTTAGGCTTATGGTAAGCCTAAAGTTTCTATTTAAAGAGCTCGTCTGCTTTCTCCTAATTGTTGCTGTGAGATGGGCAGTTAAGGATCCCTAACCATCCAAACTACAAACATACTTTGCGGTATTGTTTGGAGCCATTCAAAAAACACATGAAAAGAAAGTACATTTCTTCAGTTTGAAGTGATCACCTCATCCTTTCTCACCAAAGCAAGGATTGTTTGGCAACCCTAGAATCTTCAACTCTAGCTTCCCACTGAGAAAATTGCATTTGATTCTGTGTGATTGTTTTCTTTAGAAATTCATAAGCAAATTAGTGGTTTCTAGCAGGCCCTCTTTTATATTATGATGAAAACAGCTCACCCATTTATAGTACTTTAGAAATCACTTTCACAATTAATCCTAATAGTACTATAAATAAAATTAAGTATCATTATACCTATTTCACAGCTGAGATTTGTTTTAAAAAACTTAATTATTTATTAGAGAGTGCATGCGTGTGCACACATGAGTGAGGGGAGAGGGAGAGAGAGAATCTCCAGCAGACTCCCCAGTGAGCGCAGAGCCTGATGCGGGGTTCGATCCCATGACCTCGAGACTATGACCTGAGCCAAAACCAAGAGTTGGACACTCAACCAACTGAGCCACCCAGGTGCCCCCACAGCTGAGATATTGAGACATACAGACAATTCAGGGGTTTGCATAAAATCACAAAGCTTAGAAGTCATTCTCTGGACACTTTCATCAGTATGCAAGAAATAGAAATTAATGTATCATTACAACGGTTGTATTGTCAATGCCCAGAGCAGTGTCTGGCACATAGTAGAACTCAGTCAGTACTTGTCGAGTGAATGATTGGACTTTTCTTTTCAGGCCTGTATTGATGAAAATTTGGACATGGTGAAGTTTCTGGTGGAGAACAGAGCCAATGTAAACCAGCAGGACAACGAGGGCTGGACACCCCTTCATGCAGCAGCTTCCTGTGGCTATCTCAACATAGCAGAGTGAGTCTCTGTATGGGTTTGGATTATTTGTAAGAATAGCCTTCATTTCTCTTCTGCTCTTAAAAATTTGAGTTCATAAATAGTTGTAATTTCTGTTACAAATTATAAAAGCAGGAGTTTGAATCATTTTTAAGGAATAATTGATACTGTTTTTATATACCTGCTAAATCCACAATTTGTTTTTTTTTTCAGGACTTATTTATTTATTTTAGAGAGAGAAAGACAGCACAAGTCAGGGGGGGACAGAGGGAGAGAATCTTCAGGCAGACTCCCCACTGAGCACAGAGCCCTACATGGGGCTCCATCTCATGACCCATGAGATCATGACCAGACCCGAAACCAAAAGTCAGGTGCTTAACCAGCTGAGCCACCTAGGTGCCCCAAATCCACAGTTTTTTAATTGAAATTTTTTGTTTTCTTCTATTCTCAGGTAATTCATATTTGTTTGGATATTTAGAGGTGGCTTCTGTTGTGCTCTCTGGGTCACTTTTTGAGCAACTCTAACAATGTGTGGGCAGGCCTAGAGATTTTTTTCTGGACTTCTTTGTAAACTTGTTTTATTGTTTAAGGAAAAAAAACAGTGCTTAGTACAAATGAAGGTGGAGAATGCCTGGCATACTGATCCCAATATCCCTATAGTTAATAGCAGAAGAATGAGCCTAAAGATGGAGCAAAGGAAGGGTAGGGATTGGCATGTATTCTCCACCTTAGTTGAATGGGTATGTTTATTAAGACACATAAGTAGCTCCTGACCTCCATCACAACTAGTTGCCCCTGCCTTGGGCAGAAGAATCCTGGCCACATCATGTCTGGTATATAAGAGGTACTAAATGTTGAATGAAGGAATGAAGGTCATTTTTATTTTTATATTATTTATTTATTTTAAAAATTTAATTACATTTTTTTTTAAGATTTCACTTATTTTGAGAGAGTGCACATGCAAGTAGGGGGAGGGGCAGAGGCAGAGGGAGAGAGAGAGAGAATCTCAAGAAGACTCCATACTGAGCATGGAGCCCGATGTGGGGCTCAGTCTCATGATGCTGAGATCATGACCTGAGCTGAAATCAAGTGCTGGCCGCTTAGCCAGCTGAACCACCCAGGCACCCCTATTTATTTATTTTTAAGTAATCTCAACGTCCATCGTGGGGTTTAAACTCACAACCCAGAGATCAAGAGTCACATGCTCCACCAACTGAGCTAGCCGGGCACCCTTGAAGGTTATTTATTTATTTTTTTAAGGTTTATTTATTTTCGAGAGAGAGAGAGAGAGAGAGAGAGTGAGTGCATGTGCATGTGAGTTGGGGGAGGGACAGAGGGAGAGAGTCTCAAGCAGACTCCCTACTGAGTTGCAGAGCCTGTTGGGGCAGGGGGAGGTTCGATCTCATGACCCTGAGATCATGACCTGAGCAGAAATCAAGAGTCAGACACTTAACCAACTGAGCCAGCCAGGCACCACTGAAGGTTTTTTGTTTTGTTTTGTTTTTTTTAAAGATTTTATTTATTTATTTGACAGAGAGAGACACAGTGAGAGAGGGAACACAAGCAGGGAGAGTGGGAGAGGGAGAAGCAGGCTTCCCGTGGAGCAGGGAGCCCAATGTGGGGCTCGATCCCAGGACCCTGGGATCATGACCCGAGCCGAAGGCAGTTGCTTAACCAACTGAAGCCACCCAGGCGCCCCGTATTTGTTTTTTTTAAATAGGAAAGAGGGCTTAGCAGTTGAAATATCTTTAAAATGAGACAATCGAGCGTGGTCTAGATGAGAGTAGATTTAGGTTGATAAGGTAAATTCACTGAATAAAATCATGGTATTCTGTGATCCTTTGAAAATCAGATGCTTGTTTTAAGGCCCCTTTCCATATAATTAGAGCTCTGTTACATTTCTCTTATCCAACAAACAGCAGGGAGGATTATGTTGGCAGCTATGTGGAGGCCTGGGAATGGCTTCCTACACAGTCTGATTTGCCCAGGTTTCCTGGGGGAGAGCCTGTGTCTCTGTTTTGCTTTTGAGCCAGGGATGCTCAGTGGGAGAAGTTAAACAAAGGGAGACTCCGAGCCAGAGAAGCACTATGCGGCAGCGCTGGTGTTTGACTGGGCTGCTTGTTCTAAAAAGTGGACAACGGGGCTTGGCCCCAAAGCCAACAGAAACGAACAATGCAGTTTTCTTTAGTCTCAGTCCTTCTCCCTGTTGTGATTTAGTAAAAATCAGTCACGTCTTCACCCCTCAGGCTGCCCTCTTTTTAGAATCTCATAGGAAAGGCTCTGATTCTCAGCCTTACCACTAATGCCAGCATTCTCCGATCTAAGGCTTATGGGGGGCGTCCTCATAGATTTTGATTTCTACTTTAAAAATTTATCGAAGAAACAGTTATAGAACATGTTAGCACCTCATTTTTTGTATGTCATTATTTGTTCAGATGGCTTGTTTGTGATTTTTGAGTTACCAGATCTCATTACACGCAGGAATTTCACTTTTTTCCCTTTGGAAGGTAACCAGCAGAGCTCATGCTTGGAATTAGGATCGCTGGTGTTGGCATTGTCCGTGGAGTCTCTTTTTTTCCTTTTTGTGAAGCTGAGTACAGAGAATGATTGTAAATGCTTTTTTACAGTGATTTCTTTAATTCATCTTTCTGGATGAACACAATTCCTTTGGAAACAAGTTCAAAATTTAACAATCTCCTGCCCAAATAAAGATTACCTTGAGTGAAAGGAATCAGGAGGGTTACTGTTTCCTCATATAAATTATTACTCATTAGACATATGAAAGTCTGACCAGGAGGGTGATGATCTAGACTAGAATCTATTGCATAGGTGGGGTGGTGATAAGGATGGCCTTCTTTAATTTATCTTTCATTATGCATATCATTATTAGACAGGTTTTGACCTTGTCATTATTTACTTATTTGTGATGCTTTCTGTACAATGGAAAAGAACCCCACTGTTTATGTTTGGTTCATTTATTCATTTATTCATTATTCATTCATATTCATTTTGGTTACTTTACCTTAGGTCCT